GTCTCTTGTTTTGAATGTCTCTCTGAATGTCTCCTGCATCTTGAAAACCCTACGGAGTCGCCATAAATTGGCTGTGACTTGACAGCTGTTTCCACCACGAGCAAAACTAGACAGCACCGCTTCAGACTGCGAGTGGAGGATCCCCATCTGTGCTCACAAGAAGATGGCAGTCGACATACGATAGCAGCGATCTAGCAGCAATGCTCACTCAATGGCTCGAGAGTGATGTGCGGCTCTTTGACATGCCCTCTGTTACTCTTCTGAGCACTGTTCCCCAATGTGGCATCTGCCCCATCTTTCAGGAGAATGGGTAAGGTAATGATGGGCCTTGTATTAGCAGATGGTTCCCATCTCGAAACAGCTGCTGCCAGAGGAATGGATAAGCTGCAAGCCTGACTTGGGTGCAGGTCTCATGCCAGGGATGGATGTAAATATGGCTCTTTTGGTTGATGATAATTGCAAATATAAGACTCACAGGAAAATATGGTAATGCTGGGAAAAGTTGAAGGCAGCAAGAACACAGGAAGACCCAACATGGATTGACTCAAATGGCGGACTCTAATCTGGAGAGCTGGGTTTGATTCCACACTCTTCCACATGCAGCCAGCTGGGTGACACTGGGTCAGTCCCAGTTCCCTCAGAGCTCTCTCAGTCCCACCTACCTCACAGGGTGTCTGTTGTGGAGAGAGGAAGGGAAGGAGATTCTAAGCCACTCTGAGACTCCAAGTGAAGGGCCGGGTATAAATCCAACTCTTCTTCTTCATTTATTAAATTCCATTTTAAACTGCCCTCCCCTGAAGGATAGAGCTCAGGGCGGTGTACAATAGTATTGTATAATACATCATTAAAAGCCAATTAAAACCAACAAAACACAGCAAGTAGCCTAACAGATGGTGCTAAAAATTCACTGCTGTCCTCAACTGAACGCCTGGTGGAATATTTCTGCCTTACAGGCCCTGCAGAACTGCATCCAGTCCCACAGGGACATGCAAGACCTTCAGTTTCCAAGACGTGAGCAAGGCTGTTAACAACAGAACCTTTTGGAAGTCATTCATTCATAGGGTTGCCATAGGTCGGAAGCGGCATAACAGCACATAACGCACACTTGCACAGCTGCAAACGTGGCTGTCTGTGAGCTGCTCTGAGTGCCACTTATCTACGATGTGGGTCAGTTTATGGAACACAAGATTTTCTCCCGGATACTGACTGTCATAGCAAGGTCATTTCTGTTAGGAGTCCCTATTAGAAACAGGCTCTATCAATGCTCCCTCTCATTTTTGCAGAGCACAGCAATTCATATCCTGAGTAGAATACCACTGCTGCGAAATTAAAATAGGCAATGGGCAGTGTGAGACCCTGCGTGGCTCCAGACTGCTGCTGAGCAGGGCTTCCTGTGTTAATGAGCGGCCGCTCACATGCACAGCTTAGAGGGAACAGTGGCTCCCACCCACCATACTTTCTACATTGGCTGCATTTTCTGACAGACATTTTCTAGTCAGTCCATGACCACACATTTATATGTACATTTTAACAAAATTGCAAAACAGCAGTACCACCAAGAAAGTAGGGTGCTTGCAGTTTTCCCTTTGCAGTTTCTAGAAAAGGGAGTATAAAGACCCATTCTTAATACCTTCCACAGCTTCAAAATCCATGTTGTGGAGAAACTGTAAAAGCGGTATTATGACATTCCAAGGTGTTTCAGTCATTAAATCAGAAAGCGTATAATCAGAAAGTGTATAATTTATGCTTGGGGGGGGGGAATCAAAAGTCGACATGCATGAAGAATAAGTTAATGCAGAGTATTAAATATCAGGAAATATAAAATCCCCCTAAAGTTGACATTATGTTACTAGTTTGATCCTGAACTGTGAAATACAGACATGACAGAATCCTCAAGGGAAAAACCCCATTCAAAATATATATATTGGGCTGGTTGCCGTGACTCAGTTATACCAAGGCTGCAATCCAAAGAACACTTACCTGGGAGTAAGCACCCCACCACTGAATGAAAAGTGACCTACTTCTGAGTAATCATGTATAGGATTGAACTGTAAGTTGCGTCCTTTGACTTTCTTCCACCAAGAAAATACCACGTGATACAGAGGGGGGAATGTTATACTACTGGAAGAAGGGGTTCCTCATCCAACAAAGATGATAAAAAGGATAAACATATGGAGCAGAGGTCCATGAGTGGCTATTAGCCACAAGGTATAGATGGAACGCTCTGTCTGGGGCAGTGATGCTCTGTATTCTTGGTGCTTGGGGGGCAACAGTGGGAGGGCTTCTGGAGTTCTGGCCCCACTGGTGAACCTTCCAATGGCACCTGGGTTTTGGCCACTATGTGACACAGAGTGTTGGACTGGATGCGCCATTGGCCTGATCCAACATGGCTTCTCTTCTGTTCTTATGTCTGGGACAGTGATGCTCTGTATTCTTGGTGCTTGGGGGGGGGGCAGTGGGAGGGTTTCTGGAGATCTGGCCCTGCTGATGGACCTTCCACTACCCATTGGGCCACTGTGTGACACAGAGTGTTGGACTGGATGGGCCCCTGGCCTGATCCAACATTGGCATCTCTTGTGTTCTTATTATTACAAAGGTGTAGCCATATTAGGCTGTTGTGGCAAAATAAAACAAAAGTCCAGTGGCATGTTGAAGACTAGTGACGTTTATTCCAGTATGAGCTTTCGTGAGTCACCGCTCACTTCCTGACCCGACAAAGACAATTCTAAAGACAACCTTTGGAACAGAGAACACAGATGAAGCAACAGACTACAGCCTCGATACTCAGTCCAGGCTGAAGATTCTGTGCAATTCAGAAAAAAGGAAAAGATATTAAAGCACCTATTATACAACTAGTCACCGTGGTTCTTCTGCCATCACTGTCTTCTGTGAAGGACACGCCCTCGATTTTTGACACGGATGGCATGTTGACACCTAGAAGCAAAGAAGACACGTCATGTCAAAAGATGCCTTGGGCATACTTCACTGTGGAATCTGATTACAGTGTTTTTGCAATTATACAACGTGCAAAAGTTTTTTTTTTTTAAAGCACGGCGCAGCGACATACCCATGCTCCTATATCCTGTGTCATTCCTGGCCAGTAATATTGCTGCCTTATTGCCATCTTGGTTTTGTTAATGCCTCTGTGTTCCCCATGGCTACTGCTGTGAAAGTCAGCGAAGATCCGCTGGGCATCGCGCCGAGTTTGGACAACTAATCGCTTCCCGTAAAATAGTTCTCCTCCTGCAGGGAGCGAAGGGGACGGAAAAGTTAATGGGAAGGTACTGGTGGTTAGAGACCATCTCCCTCCCCGCAGCAGTCTTTTCCTTCCTGACCTGGCTGCAGGACCAGTGCGGGCTAAAGTGATGCAGATCAAGCAGCTGCCATGCGGAGGGGGAAGTGGTCATAGTTGCCCTTCCTGCCTCTTCCGTCCGTGCTCTACTGGTGGAAGAAGGGATTGGCTTCACCACCACCCCTTCCACCTCCCCCACGCAGCCTCCCCACGTGCACAGGAGTCCTATATCCCAGGCCTGGAAACAGCTGTGGGGAAGGAAGGGGGGGAAGGAAAGCAGATGTGAGACCCACGATTCTTGGGCTGGATCCAGCCCAGTGGGAGCCATACGTGTATCCAGGACTATTTTCGGGCAGGAACGCACAGGAACGGAGTTCCGGCTGGCTTCCAAGTTGGCCACGCCCAGCAGGAACTCATTAGCATAATAGGCCACACCCAACAGCAGAAACTCATTAGGATTGGCTACATTAGGGGTGTGTGGCCTAACATGCAAAGGAGTTCCTGCTACAAAAAAGCCCTGGGTAAACAGAATAAGAAGCAAAAGGTGGGTGTGGCTAGATGAGCACACTTCTGGTAACATGGGGGTGCGGTCTAATATGTCAATGAGCTGTGCTGTCAGGGGTGTGGCCTAATATGCTAATGAGTTTCTGCTGTTGGGTGTGGCCTATTATGCTAATGAGTTCCTGATGAGCTTTTTCTACAAAAAAAGCCCTGCGTGTATTACTCAGGAACTAATGCCATGAAGTAGTAAGCTGTTTCCATGATCTGTGAATAGGGCTGCCAGTTCTAGGTTGGGAAATACCTGGAGATTCTGGAGGTGGAGCTTGGGGGAAGGTGGGGTTTGGGGAGGGGAGGGATACATATAATGCCATAGAGTTCCCCCCTCCAAAGCAGCAATTTTCCCCAAAGGGAAACGATCTCTGTAGTCTGGAGATCAATTGTAATAGCAGGCGATCTCCAGGCACCACCTGGAGGTTGGCAACCCCATCTGCGAAACCCAGTTGTCAATCTCATAATCAGGCAGGGGTCTCTCAATGTTTTTCAGCCTGTGGGCACCTTTGGAACACTGACACAGAGTAGAAGAAGAAGAGCAGAGATTGGATTTATACCCCGCCCTTCACTACCCAAAGGCGTCTCAGAGCGGCTTACAAACTCCTCTCCCTTCCCCTCCCCACAACAGACACCCTGTGAGGTAGGTGGGGCTGAGAGAGCTCTTGACAGAAACTGCTCTTTTTCAAGAACAGCTTTTATCAGAACTACGGCTTGCCCAAGGTCATCAGACCAGGTGCAAGTGGAGGAGTGGGGAATCAAAGCCGGTTCTCCCAGATTAGAGTCCATGCACTTAACCACTACACCAAACTGGGGAAATCACAAAATGGCTGCCGCAAGAGGTGGTGCCAGCCAGAAAATGGCTACTTCAGGAAGTGGAGCCACCCACACAGAGAGGAAGCCTAAGTGGAGGGGTGATTTTTTAAAAAAATAATTACTGGGAAAGAAAACACTGTGGTGGCAAAGCATTACTTTAATCTGCACAACCAATCAGATCGCCAATGGCCCCTCAGACGCCCTGCTAGGAAAGACCTGCACCAGCCCCAGCCACTTTCTAAACACATTTGGTGGGCACCAGGAAACGTGCTGGTGGGTGCCGTGGTGCCCCTGGGCCCCATGTCAGAGACCTCTGTGCTATAGGGCCAACCCCCCTTCCTGACCAATTCACATGAGCATCCAAAGACCTACACGGCCTGCCCCGAGCTTCTCAATGAGGGGTGCCGTCAACCTTTCCATGGGTCATCTATGTGGTGGTGGCCTACGCGGGACAAAGCCATTGCTGCCATAATATGATCAGGGTCTTCTGTGGTAAACTGGACTCCCCTGCAAGACAGCAGTAGTTTCTTCAGGCGTTCTGTTGGTGTCTGTCCAAGTTTTGTTTGGTTGCTCTTGTGCTGTGCTCTTAATGTGTGGGGGGTGAGGCAAAAAGAGGGGCTTCACTCTCACTGAGGGCCTCTATGGAGATTTCTGTCCACAAAACAGGAGTTCCCCACCTTCCCACTCCCACCCCACCCTGAAATGCTGCTCCTGGGGGAAAGGAGAAACCCCCCCCAGGAATGGTGGGGGAAATCAGAGGTCAGCAGAGTGTGGAGGGGAATGAATAAATATTGCCTCTCCCTTCCATTCACAGAAATCCCCAGTGGGATCCAAGTCATAGGGTGCGTTCAAACGGGGCATTTGCAACGGAATAGGTGCCGGTTGCAATCGGTGAACTTACCGGCATTCACACGTAGAACATCTGCCTTCCGTCCCTAACCGTTGCAAAGCCCTTTAAACCGTTGTACTCTGCCACTAGGTCCCCAAGTGGTGGTATCCTGAGTACAATGGTTGTAATCGGTTTACCCCCGTCTGACCGCTCTCCACCGGTGTCTAGCCACTTCCATTCGGAAGCCCGAGGCTTCCAATTTTCGCCCGCCATTTTTTTTTTTTAGGTTGCCAATATGCGCTTGGACGAAGCTTCGCCCGGCGTTTGTTTTAAAAAAGAAAAGAAAAGGCCCTTAATTTAACTTTCCGGAGGAGTCCAGGACTTCAGGGAGGCCAGTTTGGGCTTTAAACTTTAAAGGTAAGTCCTTACCTTTAAAGTTTAAATGTAATACGGGGTGTTTTGAGCATGCACAAAGATCGCCATTCTGTGGATGGCTGCCTACGCGAATGCTCAAATTGATTTTTAAAAACAAAAATCGCCGACACCCGCAGCATGTGAACGGGCATACAGCGATGGGCTCCGCTGTGAGGGAGGTAAGTGTGATCGCATTTCAGCCGGAATAAACTGCACCAGTTTATGCCGGCTGAAACGCCCCGTCTGAACGCACCCATAAAGTTATGGCAAACCACACAGAGGCAAATGACATGCTTCGGAGTGCAATCCTAGGCAGAGTCACTGCAGTCAAAACACACTGTGGTTGCCCTGACCTGAATAGCCCAGGCAAACCCAGTCTCATCAGATCTTGGAAGCGACGCAGGGCCGACCCTGGCCAGGACTTGGATGGGATTCCTCCAAGGGATACCAGAGCTGGGACACAGAGGCGGGCAACACAAGTCACCTCCTAACCTCAAGTACGGTTTGCCAGAAGTCACCATGACTTCCAGGCTCGCAAGCACACACACACGCACACAAAATCCTAAGAAACAAACACACACTGTGGTTGTAGACTCAATTAAGCCTGAATAATATTGCATTGTTCTTCAGGTGTATTGTAAATAAATAGAGATCTTGTGGCACACTGAAGATAAAGCATGAAATTTAAACCTTTAGAAACCCAGCCTGGCGAAGTAGTTAAGATTGCTGGACTAGAATCCGGGAGACTCAAGTTCCAATCCCCACTTTGCCGCAGAAGCTTATTGGGTTACCTTGGGCCAGTCACTCTCTGGCAACCTAACCTATTTTACAGGAGTCCAGGAGCATCTTAAAGACTAACAACATTTGTGGCGGGGTAGGAGCTTTCATGAGTCACTGCTCAATGAAGCTCCTACACTGCCACAAATCTGGTGAGTCTTGAAGGTGCTCCTAGACTCTTGCTATTGTCTATTGCTACAGATAAACATGGCCACCCATCCTGATCTACTTCACAGGGTTGCTGTGAGGATAAAATCAAGGAGGGGAGATTGATGTTGTAAACCAGTCTGGGTCCCCATTGGGGAGAAAAGCAGGGAAAGTATGGGAGAGGTTGTGGCTCAGTGGCAGAGCCTCTCCATGGCATGCAGAAGGTCCCAAGTTCAATCCCCGGCATCTCCGGCTAAAAGGATCAGACGTGATATGAAAGACTTCTGCCTGAGACCCCGGAGAGCTGCTGCCAAGACAAAATTGACCTCAACGGACTGAGGGTCTGACTCAGTATTAGGCAGCCTCATGTGTGTTCATGTACAGGATATAAAGATCTAAAGGAATTAACACATAAACGATAGCCTGCTTTTTTATTCAATAGTACTATTGCCCCGATGTTACAGAATCACTAGGATGTCTTTACTTTATAGCATACTTACCTTTCAGGGCATATTTCTTTGTCAAACGCCTAAAGGTCTGTCGCTTGCTTTTACTCATATCCTTTGGATACGCTTTGGTTTTCTTGAATGCCAAAATGTGTGCAATTTTACGTTCAAACGGCGCTGCAGAGCACGGTTGATTTGAAACTGCGGGTAAAGATACAAAAAGGAAGTTTGAAAATGTGGTTTTTTTCCCATGCTTAGAAGAAATTAAAGAATGGTAGGATAAATATTGGGAAATGTTTGTCTTGGGATTGGCATATCCATTTCTTATATTCTTTTAACATTGTTTTGGTGGATCGTGGATAGGCCAAAAAATGTAGCTCGTGTCCACCGTGAGTCATCCTTCCGTGAAGAGCAAAGATGTAACCAGCAGTGGACATTTTTTTGCATCAGCGTATTCAGGAAGCAGAATCGTATTTTTTTCCAAAAGCTGATGTTGTTTTACACACAGTAAAAAAAATAAAATTGAGTTCTCACTGGAACCTTCTGAAAGAAAGGGGCTGCCCATCATATAAATTATATAACTAACTTCTCTAATTGTACAAGAACCAAAGAACAAACCAACCCTGAATTTCTCAAAAATATTCTTAAAACTACAGAGCAAGATTTTATGTGGGAAATTGGTTAGAGTGGTTTGTACAGAGCACTGTTGTGGTCAGAGTATCAGACTAAGAACTTGAAGACTGCACAGTGCCGATTCTACACAGAGTTACTTCCAGGGCTTTTTTTGTAGAAAAAGCCCAGCAGGAACTCATTAACATAATAGGCCACACCCAACAGCAGAAACTCTTTCGCATATTATGCCACACCCCTGACAACACAGCTCATTATATTAGGCCACACCCCCATGCTACCAGAAGTGTGATCATCCAGCCACACCCACCTTTCGCTTCTTATTCTGTTTACCTTGTTGTCAAAACCCAGGGCTTTTTTTGTAGCAGGAACTCCTTTGCATGCTAGGCCACACACCCCTGATGTAGCCAATCCTAATGAGTTTCTGCTGTTGGGTGTGTCTTATTATGCTAATGAGTTCCTGCTGGGCGTGACCAATTCAGGAGCCAGCCAGAACTCCGTTCCTGTGCGCTCCTGCCCAAAAATAGCCCTGGTTACTTCCTTCTATGTCCATTGAAGTCACTGGACTTAGAAGGTCGGTTCAGGTGCGCGGCAATGCTCCCTCTGAGCTGTGGAGTCTCGTGAGCAAAAAATCCTACTCTGCGAGCTACTGTCATTAAAGTTGTGAGCGAGCGATTTGGCTGCTGCGTAACTTAAGTTTGCTCTGGAGCCCTCCTTCCTGAGCTAAGACAAAAATGTGTGAGCCAGTGGCCAAAAAACTGTGAGCTCGCTCACACGAACTCAGCTTAGAGGGAACACTGGTGGGCAGCTGTGTTGGTCTGAAGCAATAGAACAAAGCTTGAGTCCAGTGGCACCTTTAAGACCAACACAGTTTAATCCTGGGGGGTAAGCTTCCATGTGCCTGCACACTTCTTCGTGCATGCACATGAAAGCTTACACTCAGAATTAAACTTTGTTGGTCTTACAGGTGCCACTGGACTCAAGCTTTGGACTCAAAAGGATATCTCTCTCCTTAGAAATGCTTAGGCTTCCCAAGTCCCCAGGGGGGTGGGGAAACCCCTACCCCAGAGGCCCGTTCCCCAGCGCTGCCGGATCGGGCCCCGGGGGGATTTCCTCCCCGACCTGCGCGTCACCTGGAAGTGACACGACCACGCCGGGCACACTGGGGGCGGGGCCATGGCCATCCAAGGGAAAACTCTATGGTTTCCCCTTGTATGGCCGTGGCCCCGCCCCCAGCGTGCCTGGCGTCGTCACGTCACTTCCGGGTAACGTGCATGCGGTGTGTGCGCACTTTGTGCACGCGCGCGCACACCAGACGCCGGCCAGGAGCCCCCCGCTCCCGGCATAGATCAACTTGGCAACCCTAGGAATTCTGTGTTTTCCCCACCTGTTCTTTTTTTTAATGGATTTTTAAAAATAAATTTAAAAAAATACATTGCAGTGCCAACAGTAAGCCCCTTTCTCTCAGCTTCGGGCCCCACCAATGGTCTACAGGGAAAGGATACTCAAAGATGGCACTCCCAACACAATTTCTGTAGTGAACTCACCGGCAACATTTCCATCCAGAGGGGCGCTGTCACCCATGGCTCTCTTCATGGCGAATGAATAACAGTTATATGAAGTACAAGAGAAAATACACCTCGGGATCAGCATCGTGGAAGAATATAAGTGCTTTATTAGACACCGTTTCAAAATCCTGCAGCGCCAACACTGTTCGTGACAACTGGCCAGCTACGGAGACTCAACAACACGGCTTTTTAAAGTAGTTTCTGTATACGGGAGCTAGATCTGTACCACGTTGCAGCTATCTGGGAGAAGCCGAACAAATTAGTTTCTGGGAAATCTGAACAGGAAGGCAATTCCCACGGCGACCAAAAATGGCCCTCAGAAAATGTAACCCACACAGAAGGACATACAGAAGTCTGTTTCTGCTGGGCAGGCCATCTGAAACAGCACTGCCATCAGAAAAGGTTTCCAGTAGAGGATCTTGCATTTCTCTTTTCCAGAGGCAGAAACTACACCACGTGTCATGGAAAAAACAGATTCCCCCTCCCCAAAACTTTCTGTCTTGAAAGTTTTGTGTATTACACGTTTTCAGGAAGGATCCACAAGTAATCTACCACTTCTGCCATGTACAACAGGAAGCACGGATCCGTGGTCAATTTCTTCTTGTGAGCACAGGCAAGGGCAGGACCCAGGGACCACTTGGTACAAAATCGGGGCAACTATCTATACCTTGTGACTACCTCTGTCACAGACCAAAAGCACTCTGTGTGTGCTCAGAGGTCCGCTGTTTCCTCAGATTCAAAACTGAGGGGATGAAATCACTATTTTTTAAAAATTCCATGGCTGCTCATGTTAAAAGGCTGTCCTCCACCATGGCCTAAATCACCCCTTTCTCCCTCTCTGCCACGCCCAGTTCGTATTTAATATCTAGTCAAATGATGTTAACAGCTGCCACAGCCAACAGACAATGTAAGAACATAAGAGAAGCCATGTTGGGCCAGGCCAATAGCCCATCCAGTCCAACACTTTGTGTCACACAGGGGCCAAAACACAGGTGCATAATGTGTACTTATGTGGCAGTGGTCGGGTGGGGGAGGCTCTGAGGCAACTGCCTTCTGGACTGAAGAATGACCAGTTTCCCCCCCCCACACACACACACACACTGGCCTCTCCTCTAGGTTCTTTAAACCCCAACTGCCCACAATCAAATGAAAAGGGGGATGGCAAGCTTTAAAATAAAGATTGGCAGCGTGTAACCTTTTTGAGCCTGCGGGGACATTTGGAATTCCGATATGGCATGGTGGGCACAGCTACAAAATGGCTGCCACAAAATGGCTCTTGCGGGAGGCAGAGCCAGCCACAAAATGGCTGCCACAGCTTAATTTCAGTAACACAGTGTGTAGACCCTCGTGCTGTGACAGCAGCTGGTGCCAAAGCAATATTCTAAAAAACCTGCACAGCCGATCAAATCTCCAATCGTCAATCTTCTGCCTTGCTGGGCAAAAGGCCTACCTGGTCCTGGTTTTTACTTCCTAAAAACACTTGGTTTCAGTGTAAGTGATGGGCTCCCTGATGGTCTCTTATTTGGGAAGCTGTTAGACCAAGGCTAGGTGAGGTAAACAGAGATCGCTTTCCCTTGGACATTTGACTCGAGAGACAAGACACAGGGAGATGAACAACAAAGCTTTGTTTCACTGAAAATAAAGTATTTAATAATGTTAACTGTGATCTGTGGATTATTTCAATATATAAAGTATAAATGGTTCTCACGTAAAGTAAATAAACCCTTGAAGGGAGATTTGAGTTCCCTTCTCCGGATAGGGTTGCCAAGTCCTTACCGTCTGTATAGCGGGGGAGTCCAGCGCTGCTCTGGGAGGCTGTGCGCGCGCGCAAAGCACGTGCCGCAATTCCGTCACCCGGAAGTGACGCAACCACGTCGGGCACGCCGGGGGCAGGCCCACAATCATCCGAGGGAAAACCATAGAGTTTTCCTTCGGATGACCGCAGCCCCGCCCCCAACGCGCCCGACGTGACTGCGTCACTTCTGGGTGACGTGCTGACGCCGGGTACATCGCATGCTTTGGGGGTGGGGTTCCCCCCGGGGCCCGATCCGCCACCGGCGGGGAACGGGCCTCTCGGGCAGGGGTTTCCCCGCCCCCCGGGGGGACTTGGCAAGCCTATCTCTGGACAGGGTACCTCAGCAGGTTCAAGGCCGCTCTGCACCACAGAACCTGTTACACACACCAGGTAGGAAGGGCGGGCCCTTAACAAGACGCTTATTTGTCACATCAAAACAAGAGGCATGAGAGAACAAGACAAGAGGCGTGAGAGAGAACAAAACAAGAGGAATGAGAGAGCATGCTATTTTAATCTGCATAGCCAAATCAGATCTTCAGTGGTCAGTCAGAAGCCTTGCAGGGCAAAAGCCCCACCTGACCCCCACCTGCTGGCTCAGAACACTTGGTGGGTGCAAAAATGGTGTGAGAAATGAAATAAAGGGACTTCTGATAAAGAAAATCTTAAATACCTTGCTTTAAACTGTAGTAGAAAAAAATATTGCTTGAAATCAATTGATTAATGAAACCAGACATCCTGCTGCTTCCTCCCCCCCCCCTCGCGAGTATCGCGGGTCCCCCTCTTGTAAATCTTATAAATCCAGAGGTGCTTAGCTACATACCCATATATCTGAACCTAAATGCTTTGAGCAGGCTGGCTTGCTTTAAGAAAGAGGGAGAGGATAACCGTTAGCTAAAAAGCAGACGCACTATAGGGGTGGGGTAACTTTTGGACCACAGGATATGCTATCTCAACAGACCCTCTGGAGAGAGAATTGACTGTTGGCTGGGGTGGGGTAGCTTTTGGACCACAGGATATGCAATCTCAGCAGACCTTCTAGAGGGAGAAGTTAACTGTTGGCTAAAAAGCAGACGCAGGCTTAGACTGGCCCTGTGTATGGTATGAGATGACATCTTTAATTACCATTTTTTTCAATCTCCAAATACCATTTTTGTTTGGTCAAGTTTGAACTTGCAAGACTTTGGTTCCCTCTCTGGATTCTCAGTGCCTGGACTCTGTAAACATTAAAGCCATCAAAAAATGACAGATCTTCTCAATCCACCTCACCTCATCCTCGTATTGCGCAGCCTGCAGCCCTTTGAATTCATCCGCCTCCAACTCTGGTGCTTTTTGCTGCTGCTTCTCAGCCTCTTGCCGCTGCTTCGACAAGTAATCCTCGGCCAGGGCCACGGCCTGTGTGCTGGACTCTGGGCCATGTTCCCGGACCCAGCTCTGCATTTCCTGGGGCAAGACGGTCAGGAACTGTTCCAGGATCAGCAGCTCCAAGATCTCCTCCTTTGAGTGCCTCTCCGCTTTCAGCCACTGACGGCAAAGTTGCTGAAGTCTACTATAAACCGCTCTCGGCCCCTCTGCCTCTTGATAGCAAAGCTGTCTGAAGCACTGACGCTGCCTCTCCCTCACGACGGCTTCTCTTCGCAAGATGGCGGCCTTCACCTTCCCATAATCCTCTCTGTCTCGGACACTGAGGCTGCTGAAAGCCTGCTCAGCTTCTCCGCTGAGGGCCGGCAAGAGAAAGGTGACCCACTTGTCTCGAGGCCAGCGGCACGCCGACACAACTTGCTCAAAAGAGGCCAGGAAAGCCTGAGCGTCGTCCCAAGGCGTGGGCTCCTCAGACATCTGTGGGTTCCCCCGTTCAGAGTCAGAGGCCTGCAGTGTCCTCAGGAACTCCTGCAACTGGGCCTCCCAGCGTTGTTGCAACCTCTCCCCAGTGTCGCATTTCACTTGCTGTGGGGCTGCTGCTGTCTGCAACTGTCCGATACTCCTTACATGTACAACTTGCGGGGCTTCTGCTGTTCCTCCAGTTCCCAGCCATAGTTTAGAGGCTGCTGTGAACTGCTCCTCCATTTCCAAGCTTTGGGTCAGCCGGTTTCAACAGCAGGAAATTCTCCAAGTCAGCCAGCAGGAGGCAGTGGTGATGCTGCAAACTGTTGCTAGGAGCAAACATAAAAAGCATCAGAACTTCTGTTCTGCAGCAGTTAGAAGCATGAGCTAAGCGCTTCACAGTCCTGGGTTCAAATCTCTCCTCTGACACAAATCCAAAGCCAAATCCCTGTATTTTTTTTTTTAGCAAAACCAATAAAATAACACCACACAGACTGCAAACTTTTGAGTCCTCCAGAACTCTTCATCAGGCTAGGGGGAGGGAGCGAGACACATATGTGGGCCCTGGTATTAAAGCCTCTCTGTCCTCATCCTGCATATTTATTCACTTATTTTTATTTATTTAAAACATTTATTAGGCACTTTTCTCCCTTGTGGAACTCAAGGTGACTTACAATATAAACAAAATGATTATAGTTAAGGTGACTTACTATATAAACAAAATAATTATTTAAAAAACACAATAAAAGCAATATAAATTACAAAAAGCATGAAAGGTCACAATTTAAAAACTCCAGTTAGGACTGCTAATAAATAAAAATCAAATCAGTCAAATGATTTGATAAATAAATAAAATAAATAAAATGCAGTCCTAAATAAACCTGTCTTCAACCGCCTCTTGAAGATGGCAAGTGAGGGGGCCAGGCACACTTCCCTGGAGAGGCTGTGCCATAACTGTGGGGCTGCCCCTGAAAAGGCCCTCTTCTCTCATGTACCCACCAAGCATAGGATGCTGAGCCGGGTCCAGGGGTGTAACTAGCGGATATCAGACTGAACCTTTGCATTCTGGGAAGAAGAAGCCAAAATGAAAGCAACCCGGTTGAGAATGTAAGAAGTCACTAACAACCTTTCATTGACCAAACATTTCACCGATGCCAAACGGAACTCCCAAGTCCCTTCAAAGGCTGCAAATGAAGGGCAACCATAAGTCTGTATGTATGTTAACAATACTGGCAAATAATTTTAGCTGGGGCACAAAGTGAAGAATTACTATAAGCTGACTCTTGGGAGTATGAACTAGGGAAGTTTCCCAGATTCTCCCTCCTCCAGGTGGAATCCGTTAGCCTTAGACCAGTTAAAAGTCTCTGTCAATATCTGGAATATGAGACAGCAGAACCAGCCTACTCTGAAGGCTTGTCGTAAGGGCTACTGAGGTTTGATTTTTAAAAGTGCCTCTCAGGCTGACAGCTGGCCAGGGGTGGAGGTGGTCAATGTTTTCATGTGTGTGTAACAGAGGTTTGCTGCTATGATTTTTTAAATTGTACTGCTTGGTTTTACTTGTAATATTGGAAGCCATTAGGATGAGCCTGGAGATCTCCTGGGATTACAACGGATCTCCAGATGACAGAGATTTATTTATTTATTTATTAGTTGGATTTATACCCTGCTCTCCCCGTCGAGGCAGGCTCAGGGCGGCTTACAAAAGATAAAATTGTAAACATAGATAAAACCGGTTTAAAACAATCCACAATCATAAAGTGCTAGCTAAATAGATATAAATAGTCTGTTCCCCTGGAGAAAATGGCTGCTTTGAAGGGTGGACGCTGTGACATAATGCCCCACTAAGGTCCCTTCCTTCTCCAAGCCCCACATCCCCCAGGCTCCATCCCCAAATCTCCAGGAATTTACTAACCCAGAGTTGACAACCCTACGTTTTACAAATATTTTGCGCGCAGAGGCCAACTATAAATAGCTTGAATAAATTCACTGGTGTGCAGAAGTGGAGCTTTTTCTGGCATGGATCCAACAACAATTAAACTGGGGAAGCTAGTCCGGGCGGCACTTAAAGAGATTAAGGAAATTTAAATGTTCAGGAGTAAACGCTCCACACAACACAACAGAAAGGGGAGGGGGGATGTTACAATGAGGGAGGCTTAAAAGAAGATCTAGTCAAAAGAAGAATCACCTGAGGGCCTCTCCCAACTTTTGTCGGTGGGTTTAACAGGAAATCTAGCACCAGATGGAGGAAACAAGAGGAGCCAAAACAATAGACAGTTGCATCCATTTACTTCCCTGAGGGATGGAATATGCAAGACACCTATAGAGAGTGAGGAATCCCAGATCCCTGCTAAAATGGTGGAGTAACAGACAGCTGTGATCACACACACTAAATAATCCACTTTCACTACACTTTACAACTGGATCCTGCCAGTTCACACAGTAAAATCCACTTGGAAAGTGCATTGAAAGCAGATTAATTTAGTGTGTGCGATCGCACCCTAAGTCTGAATTTATTAACAAATCATAGTTCAGCAATCTTGTACCATTATTCTGCCTTGGAAGTTCATTAGATCAGCAACAGAAGGCCCTGGAAGAGCAAAACAACAGTTCCCTCGTTTCTGATCTTAAATGTACATCCCTATTTAACAGAACATAATACAAACAATTGTTAGAGATTATGCATAAATGGAATCTCCATGTTCCGAGGTGGCATACCTCCAAATAGAAGTGTGTGTGTGCAGGGGGAGTGCTACCCTCTGTGCCTGTCTTATAGCCCTTCTGGGGGGGGGGGGACTGGCTGGTGGCCACTATGGGAACAGGACTTACACTTCTGATGCAGCAGAGTCCTTCTGATCTTAGGCATTTTTAAACATTCTAGCTCTATGATCCTAGGCAGAGTTCTAAACCCACTGAAAACTTTAAATCATAGCATTGTGATTTCTTTTTTGAGGGGTTGGCAGGGAACATGAGAACACAAGAGAAGCCAATGTTGGATCAGGCCAATGGCCCATCCAGTCCAGCACTCTGCCACACAGTAGCCAAAACTATAGCCACTGATGGACCTCTGCTCCATATGCTTATCTAATTCCTTCTTGAAGCTGTTCCATGCTTGTAGCTGCCACCAGCTCCTGTGGCGGTGAATTCCATGTGTTAATCACTCTTTGGGTGAAGAAGTACTTCCTTTTATCCGTTCTAACCCGACTGCTCAGCAATTTCATTGAGTGCCCACGAGTTCTTTTCACTGAGTGCCCACGAGGGAGAAATAACAATAATCCATTTTTATGTATAGTTCTACCTTTCCCACTGGAACTCGAGGCAGATCACAAATATGAAAAAAACCCTTCTCAGTCAACCAGTGAGCTGACCGCAAGATATGCTAACATGTGAAATCTAACAGCAAAGATTCCTAGTAAAACAAAACAATGCAGTTGAGCTGGGGGACAGGAGATGGGAAAGAAAAAGAAAAGCACAAGCAATGATGCCTGTTTAGGGCAACAGGACAATGCAATGCATGTCGAAAACTATTGCTAATAAAAGTCAGTTCAGTAGCACCATGAAGACTAACAAAATTTGTGGCAGGGTATATGAGCTTCCTAAAAGAAATCAACCCTGACTGTTCCCTGGAAGGCCAGATAATGAAACTGAAGCTCAAATACTTTGGCCACCAAATGAGAAGGGAGCACTCACTGGAGAAGACCCTGATGCTGGGAAAGACTGAAGGTCAAAGAAGACGGGGACGGCAAAGGATGAGATGGTTAGACACTGTCATAGATGCAACGAACATGAAATCCAGCAAACTTCAGAGGAAGACCGGAAGGCGTGGGGTCGCAAAGAGTCAGACTCGACTGTGCGACTGAACAAAAACAAACAAAAAAAGAGCTTTCTGAGTTACTGCTCACTTCTTCGGATACTGAAGACTCACAAAAGCTCATGCCCTGCCACAGATTTTGTTAGTCCTTAAGGTGCTCCTGGACTCTTGCCCTTTTCTAGGGCTACTAACAGGGCGACCCCAGCCTGGTCTCAAAGTCAGCTCCGGAGCGGATCCAGTCCACCGCAGCTTTGGCTAAAGAACGCCCATTTTGCGCACTTGGAGAAGAAAGGTTATTTAAGCCTCAGTCAAAACGGCGCCACATTGCCATCGGTTCATGGTGGTTCTCACTTGATCGCAGAACTGATTTGCTTGCGGGGGGGGGGAATCTTTAGGAGGTGGGGAAAGTTAGTTCGGGAAGGCGAATGTGGCTTCTCTTCTTTCTCCTCCGGGAGAATCGAGTGTTTTCCACCCCCCTCTTGCAGTCAGCCTAGCCACTAGTGCTGCTGTTCTCCATCACCAAGGCGTTGCACACGCCTCCCCTTTCCTCCAGAATGCCCCCCAAAACTCACCTCCCTTTGCGACTTTAGCAGGGTAGCAGCCCCTCTCCCCGGACAGCCCGGTGAAGCGGAGGAGGCAATTCAAAAAGTCAGATTCCCACCAGGAAGGAGAGGGAAGAAAGGGCACCGGAAGTGGCTTCACTCTACGCTTCTGTGCGGCATTCCCTACGCCCACCGAAGCGCAATTCAGTGGCTTTAACCCTTTTGGTGAAGTCTCATAGCCGTTGGCGTTTACTTTCCATGCAGAAGGAAAGTTCGGTGCCTCTGGATCTTCACATTCTTTCTTGTATGCTTTCTCTCCAGTTTTCTTGCCCATCTTTTTTATTGCTGCAGGTTGGGTTTGTTATGGATTGCCGGGGTGGGGATCAATGTTCCCTCTAAGCTGTCCAGTCTTTTGAGCAGAAATTCTACTTTGTGAGCTACTGGCATTAAAGTTGTGAGCCAGCGATTTGGATACTGCATAAATTAGTTTGTTCTGGAGCCCTCCTTCCTGAGCGAAGACAGAAATGTGTGAGCCAGGGGCTAAAAGCTTAGAGGGAACACTGGTGGGGATAGAAAAGAGCAGAGCTCTTTTTTGTAGAAAAAACCCAGCAGGAACTCATTAGCTTAATAGGCCACACCCAACATCAGAAACTCATTAGCATATTAGGCCACACCCCTGACAGCACAGCTCATTGGCATATGAGGCCACACCCCCATGTTACCAGAAGTGTGCTCATCCAGCCACACCCACCTTTTGCTTCTTATTCTGCTTACCTTGTTTGTTGTCAAAACCCAGGGCTTTTTTTGTAGCGGGAACTCCTTTGCATGTTAGGCCACACACCCCTAATGTAGCCAATCCAAATGAGTTTCTGCTGTTGGGTGTGGCCTATTATGCTAATGAGTTCCTGCTAGGCGTGGGCAACTTGGAAGCCAGCCGGAACTCCCTTCCTGTGCGTTCCTGCCCAAAAATAGCCCTGGAAAAGAGCAAGAGCCCAGTGGCAACTTAGACTAACAAAATTAGTGGTGGGGTAGGAGCTTTCATGAGTCTCTGCTCATAATCTCCACACATTTTGTTACTTTAAGGTGCTAATTTATTTTTATTTTTATTTATACATTCAATTTATTTACCGCTCTGACCCCGAAGGGTCTCTGAGCGGTTTACAGGTAGTTTCAAATACATTTTTCCCTAACTCAGGCCACAAAGTATACAGGGGTAGGGTTGCCTACTGGCACCCAGGTGGCAGGGCTGTTGTTCTCTGGCTCCGGCAATCTTCCTCCAGGCGGTCTTCAGGGTCGGCGTCCCGTCTCCGGTGTCTAGGGGCAGGTCCTCCAGCTTTGGCGGTCTCTTCGGCGCGCGGCCCATGTCAGCCACAGCCCGGCCATCATCCATTCCGGCTCCGCCGTGCCTGCGCCTTTACATCACCGCGTTCCTCCGTGGCTCCGCCTCGGCTTCCATTGTTAGATCTTGCCACTCGATGGACTCTCAATTTCACACACAATTTCACACACATTTCAATCCACTTTCAATGCACGTTGCAACTGGATTTTACTGTGTTAAATGGCAAAATACACTTGAAATCAGTTGCTGAAGTGGATTGAAACTGCATTATTTAGCATGGATGCTGGGTTGCTCTTTTCTACTGCTACAGACAGACTAACACGGCTACCCATCTTGATCTGTCTTTGGGGTGAAAGGTACCTGTGCAGGCACACAAAAGCTTATACCTTGAATAAAACTTTGTTGGTCTTAAAGGTGCCACTGGATCCAAACTGTTTGGGGCCCCGTAGAATTGGACCCCCTGGTTCAATGTTCCTGAAACATGGCGGGTATCTTGGGGAGAGGCTCCAGCAGCTACTCTGCGATTTTGGAGCCTCTCCCTCAAACCCCCTCTCCTCCAACCCCCAGAATATACCCTATGTTTTAGCCATTGACTTCAATGGCCCATAGGATATAATGGGGCTGAACTGCGGGAAGCCGATTCAGATCAGAGAATCTGATACAGCCCGCAGCAGCCTGAAAGGGGCCCGAATGGGCCATTTTCGGGGGTGGATTCAGTTTAGACAAACTGAATGCACATCCCTCCAGCAGCCGGCTTGCTCGGGCTCTCTGCAGCCGTGGGGATCCTGAGCAAGCCAAAGGACGGTGGTTTAAACCAGCTCTCCTTCCCTCCAGCAGCCAGCTTGCTCGGGCTCCCTGAGAAAACCAAGGGAAGGGAAGGTGGCAGACCAGCTGGAGACATTGAGCCTCAGCTCCACAAGTAATGAGCACTCAAGCCCCGCCCCCAGCAGCCCTCAGGCTGGAGCACCTGGAGCAGTCTTGGGAGGCGGATTGGCAAAAAGCAAAACCAAAAGTGCAGGAACTCGAGAGAACTCCAGGAATGGAGCTGGTTCCTCTTCCACAGCCCAAAATACGACCCACGAACCCTGAGCTTGCTTTTTCTTATTTGCGAGTCTGGCCTCCAC